CGCTGTTAATTTTGCTTTGGCTGGGTTGCTTCATTTCGCTTTGGCTGGCACGCTCGAGGACGAGGACCCAGGGAAAGAGGGGGGGACAAGAAAAGAAGACGACGAGTACGTACGAGGACAACAACCACGACGAACAACCCGTTCCACAGGCCGACAGGGTCGACGGATCTTTAGGGGCTCTTGGGCCGTCTCGGGCCGTCGGAAGATCGAAAAGCAGCAAATGCCCAGATCCTTTAAAGCCTGCGGCAAATCAGTGATGTTTGCCTCTTCGGGCCTGGGCTGCCCTGGAGACCTTTTGGGGGGCCTCTTGGGTCGTCTCCTGGGCCATCTTGGAGCCATCGTGGGCCGTCCCGAGGGCCTCCCGGCCCGCCGCACGCCGTCGGGAGCCGTCTTGAGGGCCTCCGACCTCCGAAGAAGTGCCCGATCACGATTTCAAAAAGGCTGCTTCTGCATTTAACGTTACAACGAAAGAATAAACAACAGATTGCTTCCTTCCTCGAGGAGAAAGTTTCCAGACTTCAGGATCAGTTTTTGAGAGCATCGAATTTCTGGACAGGTTCTTCGAAGCTGAGGCTGTCGGCTGGTCTCCGGAAGTATGTTTCTTTTGTATATGTTTGCGGATGGACTTTTTGACATTGTACAGTCGGGGCCTTGAAGAAGGGAACGCTTCTCGTTGGGGGGGGGCTCGGTGTTCCTTGATCGTTTTAGAGTTTGCCTCAGGTGTCTATTAGGTTTTCGATGTGGAATCGAAGTTCAACTCATGGAAAATTGGGGCCTCGTTCCTTATTTAGGGTTCCTTAGGTCAAGGCCCCGCTTGTACCTGCAGTGCTTTACCATTGGGAAGGGTTTTATACAGACTAATCACATGTGTATATATATGTATATATATGTATGTATCGATTTATATATATGTATCTGAAGCGCTCCTCTGGCGACCAGCGCCGCATGCTCTGTTCACTTCCTGGACGCTGTGCTGGAAGCACTCTCGTCCTGAAGCTGGCCACTTACGGAGGCGGAGTCGCTCTTTTTATAAGTGTCTGTTATCGGAGCTTACTTTCTCAAGTACCGTCGGCATCTCTGGAATGGAATTGTTTTCTGATCCAGGTCCACAGTTTTTCGCTGTATGGACGACCTTGTGTCAGGCTGTTCAGGGGTGTGTTGTTCGGGTCTGGTACGTACCGTTACATACCTTTAGTTCTGCCGATCTGCTAGCAGCCATGCGTTATATTTAATCATCTTTTGCTAGCCTTAATGTCTCACCATTTTTTTCGCGCTCATCAGGCTTCTTGCTCTGAAGGCTGCCATGCTGGCTTGCAGGTAATTACCGCCTGCTGTCAGCCCAGTAAATTTGATGCATATCCTTACTTGCAGGAGCTGGTCGCTCCACCTTGCGTGCACATCGTTGGTCAATCGGCCAGATACGTGCGCGCGAATCTGTTGCGTCTCTGGCGTTGTTTTCACAACGGAGGCGATGGCCAGGTTGTTTTCACAACGTTGTTTTCACATGACCCCTGAGAGACAGAAACGCAGTAGCCATTCAGGTTTCCCCACAATCAGTAAATCTAGCGCTCCTCTCCTTCGGATGGCTTAGGGAGAGCTTCACATGGCCCTAAGGCTCGAGACGGCTCCACAACTTCGAAGAAGAGCCCAAGAGGGCCCCAAGCGGGCCCCAAGGCCTTCAAGACAGCCCGAAGAGGAAGATCTTCAAGAGACCCCTACACTCCAAACCAGCACACTTCAGATTCAAGATCTCCACACGCTTGCCCTGAGCAGCTCAAAGGCCCCGCATAATCCAAAGCCAGAGGAGGCCGTCGATAAGAACGCGAAACGAAAAGCGAGGATAACCGAGAGAGACTGGAGGGTTAACGAGGAAGGACGTGTGAGGAATATTGGAGGACGAAGGGGCAAGGCATGAAAGGAGCCCGTCCGAAAAGCACGCGCAGCTAACAACGCCATGGCATGCGCTAGAACCCAAACGCGCGCGCTTCCCGGGGACGTCCCCGCGCGACCCCCGGGGGTCTTTGAAAGCCCGAGACTATTCCAAGACGGATCAAGATAGCCTCTGATTGGCCCTCGAGGCCCCCCAAAGCGCCCCCACGAGAGCTCCAAGACGGCCCCGGATGACACCGCGACAGCCCCAATGCGCCCCAAAACGCCTCAAGCCGTCCCCAAGAGGCCTTCCAGGGCCCCAGGAAGCACACACCCTCCTATTCATTTCTAGGATAACGTATTTGTTGTCATGCTCGCCTCTTGGGCCTTCACAGCGTTTAAGACGGCTCAAGCGGCTCCGAAGACGGCCCAGGGCCCGACAGCGCATGGTAGTGCCGAGGGCCCAGGCCCGTCCTAAAGGGGGCGTCTGACACGTCCCCAGCGGTACCCCAGACGGCCAGAGAGGGCCTCGAGTCGCAGAACAATTTGTCCCAGACGCTCTTGATGGCTTCCAGGACGCCACCAAGACGCTTCACGAGAGCTCGCAGACGGCCCAAAAAACGCCACCCAGACGCTCCAAGAGGGTTTCACGGGGCACCCCCAGAGGACCCCAAAAGGCAACAATCATTTCTGTTCCGCTGGCTTCGGGCGCTCTTGGGGGTGGTTATGATACCCTCCACGGCCCCCCGCTCCAGGACTACCCCAGAGTTCCCGACCATCGCTCCGAGACAGCCTAAGAGACTCCCAAGTGAGCGCCGGGAGGCCCCCCGTCCTCCTCCTCCTCCTCCTCCTCATCCTGCTCCTCCTCCTCCTCCTCGTCCTCCTCCTCCTCCTCCTCCTCCTCCGCCTCCTCCTCCTCCTCCTCGTCCTCCTCCTCGTCCTCCTCCTCCTCCTCCTCCTCCTCACACGGCCCAAGAGATATCCAAGACGGCCCGAGAACAGATCAGGAACCGCCAGAGATCGGCCCCCCAGAACTGGGAGCACGGACGAAGCTTTGGACCTCTCCGCGCACCAGGACCCCCAGAGTCGCCAAGCAGACCCCCAAGAGTCTGCTCAAGGAGGTCCCCAGGCGCGCCTCCAGACGGCCCAGAACGCCATCGAGACGCTCTGGGAGCGTTCCACGAAGCACCCTAAGAAGGCTCCAAGGGGCAGCAACCAGTGGCTTTCCAACATGTTTATTGCAGGCATTTGGCGTTCCCCCCGCGGGCACGCAATAACACACAGGGGCGCCCCCTGGGTACAACAATTTTCACCTAGGGGGTCTAGGGCTGTTTTTCGGTGCCCAGGGAGGCTATCGTCTTCAAGAGTAGTCGAAGTCGCGATTTCGGTCGGTCAGTGGAAGAAGAAGAATATGGTGCAGAGTCCACTTCATTTGGCATTTTCCATATACGGAGGAGGAGCAGGAGGAGGAGGAGGAGGAGGAGGAGGAGGAGGAGGAGGAGGAGGAGGAGGAGGAGGAGGAGGAGGAGGGGGGGAAGGGGAGGGTGAACAGAGGTCAGGACCCCGGAAAGGACAGGGCCGTTTTTGTTACCGGTTCCGTTTTGGCGTTTTTTGGGGGGCTGTTCCGTCGCCGTTTTTGTTGCTGGTTCCGTCGCCTTTTGTTTCGGTTCCGGTTCCGGTTCCAATCCGGGAGCATTTTGTTCAACCGCTTTTTGTCGCCTTTTTTAGCCGCTTCACTTTTCAGGAGATACTTTTTCGAAAACGATGAAAAAACGGCCCTGCCCTTTCCTGTCCCCACTAAGGTCAGGAGAGGGGTAATTCGAGGGGATTTGAGAGAAGATTGTGTGGAGGAGCGTCAGGGAGACATTGGGGGAACCTAACCGCGCGAAGCGCGCGCGTGTTTCCAGTTCTACCTCCTCAAGTTCCAGCCATCTCATCGCCCTCCCCTTCCTCCTCCTCCTCGTCCTCTACGTCTTCCATCTCCTCATCTTCCTCCTCTTCCTTCTCTTCTGCGCTCTCCTCCCCCTCGTCCTCCCCCGCCGCATCCATTTGCCTCCGCGGGGGCGTGCGGGGGTGTGGGAGAGATGACAATTAAGAGAAAGCGCAGAGGGTGGACGAGGAGCGGGAGGGAAGTCGATAGACCCTGGGGTGGAAGGCGGCAACCCCGGCCAACCTCTACCTACAGTCAACCAGTATAGTAAGGATGGGCAACCTTCTCAAGGGTACCCTTGCATCCTTGCCTCCTCGGTCCATCCTTCGCCGCTTTCGCTGGCCGCGCCCCGCTCGAAAAGCTTCGAAATGGGCGTCCAAGGCCCTTACATCCTTATCGCGCATCCTTCTTATACTGGTTGACTGTAGCCAACACGCCGGTCACCCCCTCTGGATTTCCCAGGTTTGGCGCCCAGAGCGCATGTCGAAGATGACGAGGGCGGGGGCAAGGAGGGAGGAGTATTACTGACCGCGTGTCCCATGAACTGTCTGGTCAGTTTCATACTTCCGTAGGCCGAGTAGGCGCCCCTACTGATGCAAAAACAATCGGCCGGTTGCGAAACCGACCCAAGTCATCCCGCAACGAAACCGAGACGGCAAAATAAGCAAGAGCCGAAACGGGCCAGGACGAAACGGGCCGAAGCCGAAAGGAGCCAGGACGAAACGGGCCGTCACGAAACAGGCAGAAGCCCAAACGGGCCGGGACGAAACGGGCCGAAGACGAAATCAGCCGGCGCCATTGGTAGCCGAAATTCGCTGGAGCTGAATCAGGCCGAACCCGAAACGGGCCAGAGCCGACAAGGGCTGAAGTCGAAACAGGCGAGCAGGAGGGAAGGGCCAAAAGGGGAAAACGAGGAAGGCTTTGTTTTGTTTCGGTGCTTGCTTCTGCGGTCTCAGGGAAGCTCTCGGCGGCCCTACAGGGCTCTACATCAAGAGGGGCTGCTCGCTGGCTTGAGGGGCGGCCAAAGGACGGAAGGAGGACGAGGACGAGAACGAGGAGGACGAGGGGGAGGAGGCGGAGGAGGAGGAGGAGGAGGAGGAGAAGGAGGAGGAGGAGGAGCAGCAGCATGAAAGAGGAGGACCAGGTATGGATGAGGACGCGGAGGAGCGTGGAGAGGCCCGCAGCGCGCAAGCGTGTTCAGGACGTGACGCCCCGGCCGACCTCGGGCGGCTCTCCCTCGAAGGGGCCTCTCGCGATCGAGGAGCTGAAGCGCCCCTGCTGGGACTCTGAGCGCGGAGCTTGGCGGATACGGCCGGAGAGGAAGAGGAGGAGAAGGTGGGATGATGAGAACCGCTTGTGGCTTGTGACAAGGATGATGAGCACGATGAAGAGAAGAACAATGAGACGGGAGGGATAGAGGGAGGAGGGGGTCTGAGCACGTAAGGAATATCTAGCCGGATGCGTGCCAACTTCGGTCCACCCTTGCAGTGCGATGTTTTTACCATCATCCCTTCTCATCCAACTTTTCCGTAGGACCCCATACCAAAGAACCCCATTCAACCTCTGAAACCCTTCTCAGATCCAATTCGAACTTTCAACCGCGTCCTCGCTCTGCTCCTCACCTTCCTTCTCCTAGGAGCCATCGTTGTCATTACCCTTTTTGTCTCCTCGGCCTCATCGTTCTCGTCTCCCCATCCTCCTTTTCCATCCTCGGACTCATCCGTTTCCTCTTCTCATGCTCCTCCACTTTTTCAGCCTGACCTCTCTCATACTCCTCTCCTTCCCTCGCGTACTGTCCCTCCGCCTCCCTCTCCTAAGTTTTCTGCTTTGTCTCCCTGGTCCCCTGGGCCGCCCGTGCCGCCCCCCACCCAGTCCCCACGCCTTGCCTCGCGCACCCCGAGGATGGCAGTTCCGCAGAAGGCCGCCTTTGGGGAGCAGGGGGGGCGTCGGGAGCAGCCCAGGGGGGGAGAGGAAGGGGACAGCGGGAGGGAGGAGGGACTGGATGGGGTGGAACGAAGCAGGACGGACCAGGAGGATTGAAGGGGGAGGGCGGAGGGAAAATCGGGGAGGGGGCAAACGGGGGGGAGAACGCAGGAAAAAGGCGGGGGAGGAAGAGGAAGGAGGGAGGAGGGCGAGGAGGAGGAAGAAGAAGAAGAAGGAGGAACACGAATGAGAAGGGAGGGAGGAGGAGGACAGAGGAGGGAGGGAAAGGACAGAACATTGAAGACCAAGGGGTGGAAGGGAGAAGAAGGGAGAAGGAGAAGGAGGACGTTGAGAGGATGATGAGGCGGAGGGCGTAACACTTGGGCTTGTCAACGCGATGCAGTTTTCCATTCTGAAGATTGGCCAGTTTGTATGTTTGGCAGAAGGATCCCAGCTTGTTGAAGGTCGACTGTTCTACATGCGCTTCGCCCTCGTGCTGTTCAGCAGCAACATTCCATGTGCTTCCATACATGTCCACTTACTACCGATAACATTACATCTACTACTTTTATGAAGACCACTGCAATTACCATTTCTGCGATTCCATCTCGGGGCTTAGATCATCACTCTATGGCCATGAGTCCTCCTGGACGAGACTTTACATCCACTTGTCCCCACTGCCCCCCATCCACTATGATAGAGGAAACGCTTGACGATACAAGATTCCCAGCCCTCCTTGGGTATTCTTTTTGAATCGAGCACTGCGGTCGCGTCCTCCCTCCTGCCCTCTCTTCGACGTCCTTGGGGGGCTGCGATCTGCGAAACTGTCGCCAAGTTCGAGGGCTGGTGGTGGGTCCAGCGGAGTAAGGCACCGCGCAGCCCTGAGCGAGACCTCGCCGTCCCTGGGGGTTGCGATCTGCGAAACTGTCGCCACTTTCGAGGGCTGCTGGTGGGCTCGCCACTTTCGAAGGCCGCTGGTGGGGCCAGCGGAGTTAGGCACTGCGCGGACCTGAGCGGGACCTCGCCGTCCCTGGGGGGGCCATGTCATGTTGTTGCTGCCCCGCCGACGTTTCAAGCCCCTTGCTCACAGTCTCGTTTTGGACCTTGCGTTTTCTTTCGTGACTCAGGGGTTCACTTAGTTACTCATCGTTTTTCCCTTGAGTGGGGACCTGCGAACCTTCCGAATGCCGCTCGCAGAAGTATATGCGTCCATGTCACTTCGCCGCCTTCTCGTCAAATCTTCCAAGCTACTCCTGCCCCGCATTGCGCAGGGGTTGGGTACGTCGCCAGGTTATTCTTTCAAGAACAGAGCACACAATGATTCTCAAGGCTCTGCTATACCAGACTCTGGTATTGTATACTGTGGTAACTCTCATTGTCTTCGTCTAAGCGCCTCTCCCCGATGTACAAATCTGTTCAGGGTCTTCTGCCGCAAGAGTGTTGCGCTTCCACAACGACATTGCAGTTGCAAGCTGCGGAGGCTCACGTTCTTTACTCCCCTCGTGGGTCCACCTTCGACCTCTGACGACTATGTTTTCGAGTCTGGGGGCCCCGGGCTTCTCGAACTTCTCCTCCGGGCAGGCTGTTCAGTCTCCGGCCACTTGATGATTGCCTTGGGGACCGAAAGCGCAGAAAGACATCAGGCTCCATATTTCGGGGTATCTGGTGGAGGTCCGGGACTGGCGGGGTGCGGGGCCCGAGTCACCTTGCCGCCAGGCGGCGGGTTCTCTCGCGCAAGGGGGGGCTTTCGAACCGTCGGCTCGGGAGGCCTGCCGTGCGCCCCGCAGGCCCTGCTGCTGCGATCGGCTCAACCCACCTGCTCGGATGTCGCACCGCCCAGCCGCCTGGGAACGGTCGGACCCTGAGGCCGTAGTGCCTCGATCATCAACAGCCTTTGACGCGGGGAGCACTTGCTCGAGGGTTTGTCTGGCCATGCGAGGCTCAAGTCAGTGCCGGTCGCGGTTTCGATCTGTGCTTTCTCTCTGGTCTTAACCCTGCTAATGCGCAGGTGGTCGAAATCGAAGGAACAGGGAAGGAGCAGTGGTGAGGACAAGGTTCAAGTCCAGGAAACGTCGGGCTTACTGCGCGACACGGCGCGGCGCTTCATTCGGCCGCTCGTCGGCAACAAACATGGCCGTTCGTTCGACTTTCGCCTGGCACAGCATTTGCAGTTCTTGCTGCCACTGCCTGGGTGCGTTTCACTTCGGACGACTTCGGATGGTGTGTCCTCTCTCCCCGTCTTCCCTCCGCCATCATCTTCGTCGGCGTCCTCCTCATTGTCCCCACCCTCCTGCTCCTGCTACTGCTGTTGCCCCTGCTGGTATCGGATAGCGGCGAGATCGACTCACGCTCAGGCAGGGGCCGCAACAGTCTGACTCTGCAGCGGCCCTGCCCGAACGAGTCAGCACTGATCATGTGTACGATGTCCCCTTCCTTTCCCAAGCTCCGCTTTGTCCTTTCGGGGCCCTTTTGGGCCCGTATGGGGGGGATTCTCAGTAATTTGCGCTGGGTGAATCCGTAACACTCGCTCCTGCGAATGTCTTGGACCTCCCTTGTGGAGCGCCTGTGGCGCCTCTGGGGCCGTCCTTGGACGCTTCCGGGGGCCACCTTTGGGAGGCCGCGTGGCCACTTGAGACCGACTTGGGGCCGTCTCCTGGACTCTTGGACTATCAAGCAAGTCTGCGGCTCAGAAGGATCTTCTGATACCCGCGGGCTCTTGTCTGGATCCCACTCGAGAGGGAGGGATCAGCAAGATCATCCCCAGAGTGTATCAAAAAGTCTTCGATCAGATGATCTCCTGAACTGCATGCGCACCGACGCCAGGTGGGGATCTGGGCGATCCGCACTGTTCAAGCACAGCGACGCCAGGTGGCTCCTCAAAGGCAGCAGCGCCTGTTGCGTGCAGAATGAAGAAGCTGTCGGTCTGAGACGCTGGGGGGGGGATTTTCCACCGTGGCCTCGCTCTGACGCGAACATTTTGTCTCGGGGAGTCCAGCGCCAGAAAATCTGGAACCTTGGAGCATCTGACCGACGACAAAGCACAGGGCCGTCTGCTTCATTTGGCGCGCAAGGTGCCCGCGCAAGGTCGCGCGGAGGCGCCCCTCGCTTCCAAATGTAGTGTGTCGCGCTGGCGGGCCGCGTGAGGCGCCGCGTAAGGTCGCTACGCCATCTCGCGTAAGACCCTTCTTTGCAATCCTTCGTTTTTTTTGCAATCCTTCGTTTTTTTGCAATCCTTCAATCCGTTGTTTTTTTGCAATCCTTCGTTTTTGCAATCCTTCGTTCCATCGACCATCTGGGGCAAAAAGCATCCGCCAAAGAATGCTTGGGGAGTGGACGTCCGAGCGATTGGCACCCCGTGCGCTCCCAGCGCAGCGATGCGAACATGCTTCTTGCGCGACCTGCGTAGCCGCCCCCCCCTGCGGGTGCGAGGTGCTGGTGGCCTCGGGAGGCCGCGCAGCGCGGGGCAGCGGCTCAGGTGCCGCCACGGGGAGAAGACGGGGGGAGGGGGGGAGAGGGGAGGGGGCGGTGACGAAGGAGGAGGAGGAGAGGAGGAGGAGGAGGAGGAGGAGAGGAGGAGAGGAGGAGGAGGAGGAGGGGAGGGATCCAGCGGCTGAGGCGACGCCACAGGGAGAAGGAGGGAGTGGGGAGGGGGAGGGGAAGGGGGGGGGGGACGAAGGAGGGGAGGGGTGAGCGTCCTCCTCCTCCTCCTGCTCCCGTGTCCCTGCAGGGAGGGGGGAGCAGGAGCGAGGGTGGCGGGGGAGCGATGGGAGAGTGCGGGGGAGGAGGGGGACCCCCGGCAAGCGGGCGGTAAACCAGAAGAGCTTCCCAGCGAGCGAAGCAGCGGAAGCTAAGAGTAATCCGGGATCACTTTTGGGCTATAGTTGTCACGAGTAATCTCCACGGAAGGGTGTGTAACTAATATTTGCCTTGTTGACAATGTGTCGGAAGATGTGTGGCAATTCGTTTGGCCCCTAAACCTTTCTGGACTCCTTCGATCTTGATCGCGCTCGCCCACGTAATATGAGATCGATTGAAGCAGTTTGAACGGGGGGAATTCACAGGGCGGCAGCTAGTTGTTTTGGACGTACGTTCGTTTAGCGGGCTATATATATATACACACACACTAAGAACAGCTGCCTAGCTCTGAATTGCCACCATGAGCCCAGCAGCCTCGATGTTTTGTTAGTTCAGAGCCTCAAGAGGTCTGAGATCGGTCCCATACCCGAGCTATATTTGAAACCACTTGCATTACTATGCAGCTGCTTTGCTATATCCGAATACGTTTGTCTGGCCCGGATCTCGAGGGTCAGAGTGCGGTCAGGGCTGTGGCTCTTCGCCCACGCGGGTACGACCAGCAGCTTCGCTCTTCTGCTCCCAGGGACTTGAATTGGGTCTGCCATTCGAGCTATGATCGAATAGCTAGTTTCACGATGTAACTTTTATGCTGCTTCGCGTGGTCTTTCTGCCAAATCTCGATACATATAGAGCGCTACAGGGCTCTCCAGTACAGCGATGCCGCGGAGTGAGCGGCAGTGATCTGCAGCCTTCAGAGACACGACATCGGTCCAGTACTCGAGTCAGAGTCGAAAAACTAGTATCGCTATACAACCGCCTTTGCTCAATCGAATAGTGTTTGGTGCGCACGCGGGTACGATTAGCAGCTTGTCTTTTTTGGGCTTCCAGAGATCAGAGTTCGTACTACTCGAGCTATGATCCGGAATCTAGTCTCACTCCGTAATTCTTCTGCTGTTCTGCGCAGCCTTCTGCCAAATTGCGAGGTTTAGAGAAGCTACAGGGCTCTCGAGTGCAGCAACCGCTTGAGCAGCGTCGAAAGCATCAGGTCACAGCCTCTGGAGGGCTGGTTCAGCGCAATTATCTTGGGGCGTCTGGTCTCGGACAGAAGCTCTACGAGTCCACTGGCGGTATCCTTGGTTGACGGTTTACCGCCTGCAGGGGGGGGAGTGAGGGGGAGGAGGGGGACCAGGGAGGAGCGAGGCGGAGACAGGGAGAGGAGGATGAGTAGGAGGAGGAGAAGGAGCAGGACCAGAGTGAGCTCAGGAGGTGTCGGAGATGCTGCAGCACTCCCCACCTTCCCAAGGCCCCGCCCGATGAGTCCCGGCAGGCATTCTTGCTCACGCCTGGAAGCGCTTCTCCTGAAGAGAGACTGTTTTGCACCCTTCCGGCTGTAAGGAAAGCGAAGAGATAGGATCCAGAATTCCAAGGGCGTGTTTGACAAGAGCGCCGTCTTGAACAGGAACTAGTTTCCCATCGCGCAAATGCTTCGCAATGCATTCTACACTTCTGGTTGTCATGGTGGGGGGGGGTCCCGCGCAGGCTCACTTGTGAGAGGTATCTTTCCTCCAGCATTGGAGTTGATGTGCACAGGTGCACGTCGGGTTTGGATTGTTCATGGCGGGTCAAGCGAGAGCTTCGACAGGCACCGCCCTCCATACTTTTACCTATTGCGAGCTTTCAGTGCGAATGTGCGCGGGTCTAGGGTGAGAGCCACACGGTGAAAACGGGCCGCCTTCATGCTTATAGATGAGGGGAACTATTTAGGCGCATGTGCGAGGCGGTCGCGCGAGAGCCACGAGGCGAATGCCAGTCGCCCTCGAACCGTGCAACTGGTGGAAACATCCAGCGTCGGAAACATCCAGCTTCTGGAAACATCAGAGTGAGCGAGGAACTTCTCAGGCGAAGCGCCTGGCCCGCCCCGTCGACGCGCCTGGTTCTGCGAAGAGGAGGGTCTTCACACTGAAAACCGACGGGGGAGGAGGCCGAAGGGCCGAGGCGATAAAGGGGGTGCGCACGAGGAGGGGGCAGGAGGCGGAGGAGGGAGAAACGGGGGGCGAGGCTGAGGAGGAGGAGGAGGAGTGAGTAGGAGGAGGAGGAGGAGGAGGAGGAGGAGGAGGAGGAGGAAGAGGAGGAGGAGGAGGAGTGAGCAGGAGGAGGAAGAGGGCGAGGCTGAGGAGGAGGAGGAGTGAGTAGGAGGAGGGTCGGAGAGGGGGGGAGAAGGGCAGAAGCAGGGCGAATGTGAGGGCGAGAAGGAGGGGGAGCGATAGGGGGTGAACGGGAGAGGTGCGAGGCATGGGAGGTGCAGGGCCTATGAGAGGCAGCGGCAGGTTGAAGGAGGGGGGAAGGAGCAGGAGGAGCAGGAGAGGAGCAGAGCGAGGCGGTCGAGGAGTAGAAGTATGACGACGACGGGCGCGATTCATTCGCCAGGGGATGCCGACGACGACATCGACGACATCGACGACAACGACGTCGACGACGGATGACGGCGACGATGATTCCGATGACAAACGACCGACCACCGAGGGTCGACGACGTCCGAGCAGGATGATCCCGTTGATGATGATGATGGTGATGATGACAATGATGATGATGATGCTGGTGATGATGATGATGATGATGATGATGATGATGATGATGATGATGATGATGATGATGATGATGATGATGATGATGATGATGATGATGATAATGATGATGATGATGATGATGATGATGATGATGATGGTGCTGTTGCTGATGGTGATGCTTATGATGATGGCGATGTTGGTGCCGATACTGGCGGTTACGAACATGATGACGATGCGGCTGGTGATGCACATGCTGATGATGTTGCTGATGCTTATGCTGATCATGGTGATGAGGATGATGGTGCGGATGATGACGATGATGATTGTGCTGATGACGATGATCATGCTGATGCTGCTGATGCTGCTCACCATGGTGGTGATGCTGATGGTGATTTTGGTGGTTATGATGATGGTGATGAGGATGATGATCATGATGATGCTGATGCTGCTGACGATGATGATGGTTATGCCGCTGCTGTTGCTGATGATGCTGCGGTTGATGCTGCTGACGATGATGCTGATGATGACGAAGCTGCTGACGATGATGCCGATGATGATGCTGCTGCTGATGATGATGCTGATCTTCATGACGATGATGGTGATGATGATAATGATGATGATGTTGATTGTGATGATGATGATGCTGATGATGATGATACTACTGCTGATGATGATGATGATGCTGCTGATGATGATGATGATGATGATTAGTCGTATGCTGACGATGCTGACGATGCTGATGCTGAGGCTGCTGATGCTGCTGCTGATGCGGTTGATGAGGAGGCTGATGATGATGATGTTGCTGATGATGCTAATGATACCGATGGTAGTGGTGGTCATGCTGATGATGCTGATCTGCATCATGCCCTTGGTCATGATCATTGGCATGCCCATGGTGGTGAGTACGATGACGATGATGGTAATGTGAAGAGGTACGTGTGTCCCGGGCCCCCACCACCTCCTCGCACCGACCCCTCCTGAGAGTCCTCCGATCGATGCGCGCGGCAGCTCTTCTCCACAGGTTCTCCCGCGAGCGGCAACCCGCCCTGGGAGGAGGAGGATGGGGAGGAGAAGAAGGAGGAGGAGCTGGAGGAGGAGGAGGAGGAGGAGGATGAGGAGGAGCAGAAGGATGAAGAAGATAATGCAACGAGGAGCAAGGAGGAAGAAGGGGAACAGAGTGAGATAGAGAGAGGGTTCGTCCAAACACCTTAGGGGGATCCATCGGATGGGACCATCTTGTCACCGCGGTGGCTGGGACTGGACCACCTGCGGGCCAGCGACATGGCCACCCTGTGAGAACAACTCGTCATCCTCTGCGGGATCGATCCTCAGACAGGGAGCAGCAGGAAGAGGATCAAGACAAGCAGCAGAAGGAGAGGATCGAAACGAGGAGGAGGATCTTCGGTCGAGGTTGTGGCATGTGTTCGAGCCTCCTGCGGCCTCCTTACGCGCCGCCGTGGCCACGGCGTTGGGTCCGTCTTGAGATTCTGGCGGCCAGGGTGCCCCCCCCCGGACGGTCCGAAGCTCGATGTGTCTTTGGGAAGGGGAGATGTTCAGGAGGAGGAAGAGGAGCAGGAGGAGGAGCAGGAGAAGCTTCTCACCGAAAGAGTCGCGCTGCCATGCACGCGTCCGTGTCGTCAGGTGCCGCAGGGGCCGTTGCATTGGACGATGCCGTGTCCGACGCTCGCGCCACATCCTGCGGAGCAGGCCAGTGACTATGCGATATGGCTGCATGACCGTGCAGGCGTGCCGTCGTTTGCCTACCTAGGGGCGTCCACGAGGACGCGGGACACAGTGCAAACATCGAATAGTGAGCGGAAGCGTTAGGAGGTGGAAGCGAAGCGTGAGAAGAAGGCCAGCAGTAGCTGCAGAAGAAGATTGAGAATGAGAGAAGGGAGAGGAAGGGGGCGAACGATGGTGGAGCAGACTTCAGGGTTATAGAGGAACGAGAAGGCCAGCGTGCCGACCCTGAACGGGGACGACGACGACGGCGACGGCGATGACCGCGATGTCGCTGACACTCTGGAGCCGAGAGCTTCTTCGCTTTTTCGAAAAGGGGTTCTCTCCCCCTGGGGGTCACAGCCTCCTGGACCTGGCCCCCGCCACCCCCTGGGGACCCCCCCCATCAGCCGAAAGCTTCTTCCAGCTGGGGAGGGGTGCTCACCCCGGGGTTGGGGGGTCACAACCCCCAGGACCCCGACGACGAAGACGATGACGACGACGGCGACACAAATGGAAAAGCTTGTCACACACAGGCAGGGTCGGCGGATTTGGGATGGCGGCGGATGGATGCGGACTGCGGCGAGATGGGCCAGGACGGATGCTGTGGGAGGACTGATGAGCAGGATCTGGAGAACAGGGATGTGGAAGACGCAAGAGCGGGGAACAGAGACCAGGGAGGCAAGGCGGACCATGGGCGCGCGCGGCATACCTGGCGCAGGCAGCCCCAGCTGTCCAACCGGAGCACGAACGTGAGCGTCACCACCACGCCGCGCACATCGGTGGGCGGGAGAGAATGGGGTTGATGATGCGACGCGGGCCTTCGACCGAGTCTTGCTCCAACAGTGCGCTAGACTGGGGGCAATGGCGCTCGGGACCTCACGAGGATCCTTCGCCACTTACACCACAACCCGGCCCCGGTCACCAAAGTATGAAAGGTCGATACCGCTCCTCCCCCTGGCGGAATGGGAGAAGGAGCCTGGCAGGGTGCCGCCTGCAGCCCAGAGAGAGAGGGGGGATGGAGGAGAGGAGAGCTGTAAATTTTGGGAGGTCTGCGCCAATCTCATGGGTCGGCGCTTGGCCCTCCCTGGCGGGGCCCGCGGCGCTGCCCCTGGCGCGCCTCTGGTGCGCTCTGCGCGCCAGGAATGGAAACCCGGTGCCGTCCCAAGGAGTCCGCGAGGACCTCTGAAAGCGTACGCTGACGTGTTCTGTTTCTCTGGCGGAGAAGGGGGGGCCCAGGCACCCGACGTCGTGATGTTTTCAAAACCGTGGCTCCCTGGAGGTCTGGATCCCTTCCCAGGGGCTGGCTTCTCGCCCCGACTCGTTCTTGTTGATGGACCCTCTGCCCGGCAAGGTCACGGATAGCCCGAAACTCGCCACAGGGCAACCTTTGTCTTTCACGACGCAACGAGGTCAGGGGAGCTAAGGGTTGCCTTGCCGCCCTTGGGCAGATCGACCCTCTCTCGCTCACCGTTGAATGGATGCCAAGGTCGGGTTACAGCGTGGATGTGTGTGTGTGTATGTGTGTGTGTGTGCGTGTGTGTGCGTGTGTGTATATGTGTTTGTTTGTTTGTTTGTGTGTGTGGTCGACCCGCTGTGTGTCATGAGGAGAGCGTCAGGGCAGTGAGGACGATGAGGACGAGCATAGGTTATGGAACGCGGACTCAACTAAAACATATATATATATATGTATACACACGCACCAGAGCGTGAAACACACCTGGAAAGGGCCGCCCTGTTCGGAAAGACCCCAGCGTGTGACAACAAAGTCTAGCCCTCCTTCACTGGTTAGCAGCAGCATTGCCAACCCATGTCAACGGGAACAGCAAACGGCACCGGGCCCAAGGACGCGTTTCGCGGAGGATCGAGCCCGCCGGGCGGGCGCCAGAACCGAATGCGGCCCGTGACGGGGGCCGTCTGCCGCCTGCACTGGACGGCAAGGTGTGGTGCACCCGTGGGTGGCTACGAGCCGCACGACTCACAGGACACGCGAATGCCCGCCTCGGGAGCCGCACGCCCAGCACCCGCACCACGAGGGGGCAGGGCAGGAGGCCCCCTGCGAGACCAGTCTCGTGGCGATCGGGCGGCCGCTGCGCAGCGCAGCGGAGGCGCTGGACATCTCGGCCCCGGACCAACTCACGAGGCACACCCCGCGGAGGGAGCGCGAGGGAAAGGGATGGGGCGGGGTGGAATGAGGGCTACGGCGCGCGGTGCGCGCGCCTTGGAGCCCGCATCGAAAGGCTCGAAAGGGAGGGGGTGGGAGTGGAGGGGCTGGGCGGGGGATGCCCTCTGGTTGCTCGAGGGCATGGGCGGCCGTGTAGGCCGCAGGCATGCCCCCCATGCGTGGGAGCGCGCAACGCAAGAGCATGGTGGGCAAGCCCACGGGATGCAAGCGCGTTCCACGGGGATCACACGTACGCATCAGCATAATTGTGTTTCTTCGGGAATGTCGTCCGCGGGTTGAGAGCTTCGCCGTCTGTGTCTGGGGAGTGCTCCATGTCAACGGCGGTTCAAGTTTTTGTCTGGCTGTGCAAGTCGCCCGCGCTTCCGTTCTCGAACTGGTGCGCGGGATCAGCACGGGGCTGGCCCTCTGGGGCGGCACCGCTCCGTGCCCTGTGTGCGCGCCCAACCTCGTGTGCCCGCCTCCGCCTGCGGCGACCTGAGTGCGCGGCCGGCCTCGCCGCTGGCGATCGCTGGTACCGCCGCCTTCCTCGCCCTCGTGCTGCTGGCGGCGTACCTGGCGGGCGCGATCTGGAAGCTCCCCACGCGCGAAAGGCTGCCGTCGAGGTCGCGTATCGAGGTGCGTCATCGTGAGACACCCCAGCTGACCTTCGAGGAGCAGGCGAGAGCGCAGCTGAGCTTCGTGACGAGTCGATCGACCACGCGCCAGTCGTGATGGCAGCGCTCAGCCCCGGCGATGTCCTCTTGGTGAGGTACCGCGGAGTCCCTGGGCCAGCGGTGTTCCACGCTCGCTTGTTGCTGGCGGTGCGGCCTGGGACGCACGACGCCTGCGCGCTGACGCCAGATCACGATCTCTACGAGGAGTCTTTCGTGGTCGGGGCCGACTTCAGCAATATCCGGGTGCTCTCGCATGCTGCCCGGGTGCCGTTCGGTGTTGCGCCAGGCGACATCCACGGCTTCTGTGCGTCGCCGCCGCAGCCGCTGGTGGACGCCCACGCGATGCTCGGGTCTCACACGCTTGGCGTCGCGTGCCCGCCGCTGCCGCTGGAGTCCCACTTCGACCAGGCGCCCAGCGGCGGCGCCGGCGGCCGCGGCCGCCGGCGCGGCCGCGCCGGCGGCCGCTCCGCCCCCCTCCAGAGCGGACCCACCCCCCCCCTCCCCTGCACCCCCCGCCCCCCCTGCAGAGCAGACCCCCCCTCCTGCAGCCCCCCCCCCCCCCCTGCAGAGCGGACCCCCCCTCTCCCCTGCAGCCCCTCCCTCTGCCGAGCGGACCCCCCCTGCAGAGCAGACCCCCCCCCCTGCAACCCAGCTCCCCCCCCGTCGTCGTCGTCGTCGTCGTTGTCGTCGTCGTCGTCGTCGTCGTCGTCGTCGTCGTCGTCGTCGTCGTCGTCGTCGTCGTCGTCGTCGTCGTCGTCGTCGTCGTCGTCGCATCGTCGTCGTCGTCGTCGTCGGTCGCGTCGTCGTCGTCGTCATCGCCGTCGTCGTCGTCGTCGTCGTGGTCGTTGTCGTCGTCGCCCTCGTCGTCGTCGTCGTCGACGTATTCGTTTTCGTCGTCGTTTTCGTCTTCCTCGTCGTCGTTCATGTCCACAGGCACCCGGAGCGCCCCGGATCGGCGGCACTGGCCGGAGGCCATTACAATAATCAGAAACCAGCGCCAGCGAGCCAGGGGGGTCGCGGCCGCCAGGCTTCCTTGTGCGGGCCCACACTCGCAAATAATCAAAAACCAACGCCAACGAGCCCAGGGGGGGCGCGCGGCCGCCAGGCGTCCTTGGGCGGGACCTGGGGGGGCAAGCACAATCGCAAAACATAAAAAACCAGCGCCAGCGAGCCAGGGGGGGTCGCGGCCGCCAGGCTTCCTTGTTGTGCGGGCCCACAATTGGAAATAATCAAAAACCAACGCCAACGAGCCAGGGAGGGCGCGCGGCCGCTAGGCGTCCTTGGGCGGCACCTGGGGGGCAAGCACACTCGCAAATAATCAGGAACCAGCGCCAGCGAGACAGGGGGGTCACGGCCGCCAAGCTTCCTTGCACGGGCCCACAATCGCAGCCAACGAGCCGAGGGAAAGGTGGGGGCGCGCGGCCGCCAGGCGTCCTTGGGCGGGACCTGGGGGGGCATGCGCAATCGCAAAATAATCAGAAACCAACGCCAGCGAGCCAGGGGGGTCGCGGCCGCCAGGCTTCCTTGCGCCGGCCCACACTCGCAAATAATCAAGAACCAGCGCCAACGAGCCAGGGGGGGCGCGCGGCCGCCAGGCGTCCTTGGGCGGGACCTGGGGGGGGGCAAGCACAATCGCAAATAACCGGGAACCAGCGCCAGCGAGCCAGGGAGGTCGCGGCCGCCAGGCGTCCTTGGGCGGGCCCTGGAAAGGCAAAACACAATCGCAAATCATCGGAAACCAGCGCCAGCGAGCCATGCGGTGCGCGCGGTCGCCAGGCGTCTTTGGGCGGGCCGTGGAAAGGCGAGACACAATCGCAAATAATCAGAAACCAGCGCCAGCGAGCCAGGTGTGGCGCGGCCGCCAGGCGTCTGTGGGCGGGCTCCCGAATGGCGAAGCACAATCGCAAATATTACGCGGGCCAGAGGTCGGCGCCGCCGCCCGGCGTCCTGGCGCGCGCCCCTGCGCGGCCAATCGCAATCGCAAATAAGCAAAAAACGACGCGGGCCAGAGGTCGGCGCCTCCGCTTGGCGTCTTGGGGCGCGCCCTGGCGCAGCCAATCGCAATCGCGCGTAGGCTAAAACCAACGCGGGCCGGAGGTCGGCGCCGTTTGGGCGAACCAGAGGTCGGCGTCTCCGTCCTGCGTCCGCGCGCCCTGCGCTGCCACGCGCAATGGCACGTGAGCATAAACCAACGGACGCGCCACGGCATTGAGAGCGCCGGCTGGCGAAGAAAGTGCCCCGCAATTTAGACCCTACTTTCTTATTTCTTCCGCTCCCCAGTTCAGCCCCAAAATTTCTTACCTCATGGGTTTCTTAATATTGACCGGGGTGTATCACCATCAAACGTGTAGCGAAAGTCTGCAGCGAACTTCCCAGACCGCCCTTCCGACTGGCTTCGGGGTATGATGGGGACGAGTTATTCATAAGGAAGGATTGGAGGAGAATGAGGCGGAAGAGGAGGAGGAGGAGAAGGAGGGGGTCGGAGGAGGATGTGGAGGAGGAGGAGGAGGAGGAGGAGGAGGAGAAGGAGGGAGGAGGAGGAGGAGGAGGAGGAAGAGGTATGGTATGGCCAAGCTAGCCAGCTCGAGCGAGTCAAGCATGGCATGCCCATTCCCACCCGCCCTCCCACAACATAAGAAACAGTGATGGCACAACTGGGGGTTGCGCGGGCATTCCAGTGCGAGTGGGGGGTACCCCAGGACACCGCATTGACGTCCGCGCGGGATGTGCGCCGCGTCCCCTTCCCGCCACGAATTTCGCGACGTCGACGACAAGACTGGCCATGTTGAAAGGAACAACGGACACGTTCCGCCCTCCCACAACATAAGAAACAATGCTGGCGCAAGTGGGTGCTGGCGCGTAGTGGTAGTAGTAGTAGTAGTAGTAGTAGTAGTAGTAGTAGTAGTAGTAGTCGTCGTAGTAGTCGTAGTAGTCGTAGTAGTCG